CATTTCTATAATACCATCACTGGGGAGGCTAAGGTGTGAGCAAGAAGTTCCAGGTCAGCCTGATTTACAAAGCAAGGCCCAGTATCAAAATCAAGAAATCAGTCAATCAATAAACAGAGATCCAGTAAATTGATTCAATAGGTAGAGGCCCTTGACTTGCAGACCTGGTCAACTGACTTACATCCATAGAACTCACATAAAATCATAAAGAGAGTACCAAGCCCAGAAGTTTGCCCTCTGGCAAATACATCATGGTATGTAATCCCACCACATGTACATCATTTACACACAGCCACACAATAATAAATGCAGTTTTACAAATCCAATAAAACAGAAAAATAAATGAATGAATGGATAATATATAAGAAAATCTAGAAGCTGAAAGACTACAGAATCTTCTTAATTAAAAAATATAGAGACAGATTGTTTCTAGTATCTATTATTGATTACCATTGTCTGTGTTAACTCCTAAATAAAAAGATATTAGGAACAGCACCAGAAGGCAGGAAGTCCTCATGAGCCTATTGTTTTAGTCAGTGCTAAAAAAAAAAATCAGGATATGTACAGCAAGGATATGTGAAACCTGGTTCTTATGGTACACTCCTTTAATTCCATTACTCTGGAAGCAGAGGCAGGGGAAGCTCTGTAAGTTCAAGGCCAGTCTGGTCTACAGAACAAGTTCCAGGATATCCATGACTATACAGATAAACTCTGGAGAAAAAAAAAAACAGAAAAGAAGGAAGGAAGGAAGGAAGGAAGGAAGGAAGAATGAAAGAAACAAAGAAACAAAGAAACAAAGAAAGAAACAATAAGCAAACAAAGAAACACTGAAAATGTAATGACTCCAGACTGGAGTTTTCATAAACTTTTGTTAGAACATTGTTTTGCATGATCCCACAGTCTGAATAGGTCAAGCCCTGCCTTCCTTCTGCTTGCTGACATATTTAGAGGCTGTCTGATAGGGGCCTAACAGCAGCCCCTGATTTACGGTCCTAATCAACATCTGGCTGTTCGATACTCTCTGTCACTTATGCTATGGTGAAATAAATCACATGATAGGCAACTTTTTTCCTGAATGAAAAAAAAAAAGAAATAAAAGAAGATGGTTGGGGGCTGGAAAGATGGCTCAGCGGTTAAAAGTACTAGCTGTTCTTCCAGAGGTCCTGAGTTCAATTCCCAACAACCACATGGTGGCTCGCAACCATCTGTAATGAGATCTGGCACCCTCTTCTGGCATGCAGGCAGAACACTATATACATAATACATAAATATATATTTAAAAATAAATTTAAGGAAAAAAGGAAGATGGTGGAGAAGATGATTTATTGTAGATATGAGGGAGAAAACAGACAGAGGCATCCAGTAGGATACAGAGTGAACTTGACCAGCAAACTGAACTCCACATGTGAGGAGAGAGAAAAGCAAGGAGCCAACAGTGGGGCCTAAGAGGTCAAGAACCCAAAGGGGCCTGTCTAGCCAAAATGACTGGGTTACCTAGGGAAGAGCTCCTGGAGGAGGGACAGCCCAGCCCAGTGCCTAAGCTGGAGAATTTATGGAGGAGGCGGGGTGTGCCAGGTACTGGCATTGCTGAGAGAATGGCAGCTAGTATCTGTTTGATATGTTAATATGCACCTTAGTTTGCCTTCATCCTGAGACCTAGCAGCTAACACCTCCACCACTAAAAGATGTAACAAGTCAGACTTTCACCTTGCTCTGGGGACCAGCCTGAGCCCCTCATTCCAGTATTGGCATCTCTCTCTCTCTCTCTCTCTCTGTCTCTCTCTGTCTCTCTGTCTCAGTCTCTGTCTCTGTCTCTGTCTCTGTCTCTCTCTCTCTCTCGGTCTCTGGCTCTCGCGAGACGCTCTTGCTCTCGCTCTCGACCTCCCTCCTTCTCTCTGTCACATTTCTGCTCTTAATGAAACTCCTCTCTGGATTGTAAATAGAAGTCTCTCCTTCCCTGGAAGCCTCTTCACACCCCATCAAGGGATGAACCTCATAGATGGTATTGTGTCTGTCTAATGCTCTTCCTACCAGCTGGAGGTCTGATCTCGGCCTTGGGGCCTCCTCATTCTAGTAAAGATGATTGGAAGGAATTGTGTGACAGCGTCATTTATGGACTAGCCGCTTCTGCTCATCTGTTGATACACTACCGAATGATAGAGAACAGGTGTTGGAGGGAACCTGCTTCTATATGGACATTTCCAGTGTGCAGGCAACTAATTGTGTGACTAGATATGAGACCTATTTCAAAGGCTCAAGGCAGGGCAGACAGGGAGCAGAACTCTCCACCTATACACAAATATATTTATAGCAACCTTCCGTTTCCTTCTCAGAGGAAAACAGAAAATATTCGCACACAGAGGACTAGGGTCGCTTGAAGAAGTAAACAAAGGAAATAAAGAAAGCTTACCTGGTTTAATTTCCAAGGAATAGGTCACATAACGGAAAGATCCAGGAATCTCCACTATACAACAATATGGACCACTGTCACTCTGAACAGCATTCTCTATTGTCAAGGACACATTTCCTTCTGAAATATGCCCCTTTAGCTGGTATCTGCTGCTCCTCGTATAGGAGACACGATATCCATTGGTCCAGATAAGTGTTCTAGCACAATAATCAGATCGACATTCACCAAGGCCCCAGCATGCGGTAGTGACTCCCCCATTTGTTGAGTAAGTACATGGCAGTGTGACAGGGTGGCCCACCACACCTTCTACTACTTTGTAAGAATGGCGAGCATCTGTGATGGAACAAAGAAGAGAGGGGGAAGAAATGGAGAATTAGTAACCAACATTTTCATAAATGTTGTTCATATTTCTTTTCAGAAAAATTACGGTAGGTGTTATTGTACTGGAATTTAATTTAGGGTATTATAAAACTGAGGCAAGTACTGTACACTGAACTACAGCCCTAGTGTAGTGAGACCCAAATGAGCCATCTTAGAAATAAGACCAAAATGCATTCAGCCTAAATCTAAGGCCTAAGATTTCTTCTTTTAGGTACAGGGCATGAGTTGCTAGAATAGGCCATTAGTTACTGAAACCAGTCAGTCCAGATTCTAGAAACCAGGAAGTATAAGGTACAGAGTCACAAGGTAGTCATGAGGTAATGACTGCTGGACTATGGAATGTCCTCTCCCTTGTTTCCAGGAAACTGACCACAGAAATGTCCCCACCTGAGGGCAGCCAATGAGAAATTGTTGTGGGTAACCACTCCCTTAGAAGGAAGATTGAGCCATGATTTCTAGAAAGCCCCTAGAAGTGATCGAATCAGAATTGTATCCATACTAACACCCCTAAATGATGTACTCTTGTGGATTTTGCCTTTAAAAACTGAGGTTGCAAGAGGTGGGCACTTTCTCCAGCCTTCACTGTGTTGGATCTGTTGGATGAAGTCCCTGCCTAGGCTTGTATATCTTGAATTAAACCTTGCTTCTGCATTCTGGCATGCTCATCTTTGGTGGTCCCTCTGGTGGTTGCAATCTGGGCACAACAGTGTGAGGCCCTAGACTTGACTTTACAGGCTCTACAACAATGGGGAAAGGGCCACCATCTCAGACCACCTGCTGTACTCAGTTCAATGAAGTACCTCAGGAATGTGCCTCTGAAGATAACTAGATTATCCTGCTGAGTAGTCCAGATAATCCTGTTCAGTTGGCTGTGGTTCCCCACCAAAAGTCTAACCCAAATGGTTTCAAATGTGGTTTCAGGTCCAAGGTCTAAACCAATAGTTTCAAAAATTCTCCTTATGCCATATACCTTCTACCCAATCCCAAGTTGCCAATTACTGGCTTGTGGTTTTTTCCTATAAAAACTCTCTACACCTGGGCTCATGGTTGCCCCCACATTTCTTTCCATCTGCCTGTTGGTGGCCCAGGTTGAACCTGAATAAAACCTTATGTGCTTACATCAGAAACCTGCTCCTTGTTGGTCTCTGGGGGTTTTGAGAAACAGGTACAACATGAGCCTTCTTTATCATTGGAATTTGGTGTGTGTGTGTGTGTGTGTGTGTGTGTGTGTGTGTGTGTGTGTGTGTGTGTGTGTGT